AATGGTAACAGTTTCTATGTGTTGCAATGGAGTGATTTTACTTTGAAACCTAACTGAACGTGGGTCAGTGACTCATACCTGCAGACTGTAATTATCTTTGCTTGTTGTGACAAAAATAAATGCTCTAGTAATTCATTATAATTTCTATTTCCACTTCAATAGTCTTTTTTATCTTTGCATATTTATCTATTTTGACAGCTGTCTTATACGTGTTGATTTATCCTGTTACAGCACAGAAATAAATTATATTCATACCAGGAGAATTTTCATGTAAATGAGCCCTTGTAATTGGTCTCTGTGTTATTAGCATAACAAACCTAATAATAATTAGAGAGAATTGACATTAAACAAGAGTACTTTAATCTATTAATATAAAAATACTTTTGTAACTTTACGTTAATGTAGTATATTCCATTTAAAAGTCTTTCGTATTATGTAAGGAATAAGAAGGAAATCTAGAATGTAACTAAATACTAGGACTAGATTATAAATAGGCATTGTATTTGTCATCCCCTTTGAAGTGTCATATTTAATCATTTCAAGTAGGTAGCTGCATCAGCATGCACAGAATGCAAAGGAAGAAGTAAAGGTTTCTTCCATGTTGAAAAGTGAAGAAAGAAAACACAACATTTCGGCTGTGGAGCCTTCTTTGGGTGTGAGAAAAACAGGGAAATCAGCAAAGATTATAAATCAAGAGAGGTGTGAAGTCGAAACCTGCAAATGAATAGAGAGGATTAACAGGAAACGAGTCTGTTGTAAAGAGAAGGGGGAAGGTGTGAACCCAGTTTCAGGGTAATTTTGATTTCTTATTGCAGGTTTCGACTTCACACTTCTCTTCACCTCTCTCGACTTCACACCACCTGAGTGTCCACTCTTCCTCCTCCTGCTCCCACTTCCTCTACACTCCCTGCTTTTGTTCTCCTATGCTATATAATCTCTGCTGATTTCCCTGTCTTTTTTACACCCGAAGAAGGCTCCACAGCCGAAACGTAATGTTTCCCTTCTCATATTTAATCATTATTAACTCTTTTATCTGTCTTGTCTTTTCATTTTGTATGGTGAAATATTCTAACCAGCCAACACATAGATATGGAACAAGTAATAGGTTTATTCCATGCTGAAAAAAAGAAGAGAACACAACGTTTCGGCCATGGAGCCTTCTTCAGGTGTGAGAGAGACAGGGCAGTAGGCAAAGGTAAAGTAGCGGGAGAACAAAGGTTGAGAGGGAGGAGGAGTGAGAGGGGGGAGCAGGGGATAGAAAGAGAGGCCAATCAAGAGGTGTGAAGTCAGAATGGGTGCAGAGAGGTGTGAAATGAAACTTCCAATGAATGGAGAAAATTTTAAAGAACAGTAATCTGTCGTTAAGGGACAGAGGGTCCTGCCCCTCAGGACAATTCCGGATCACCCAGACAGCATCTTGTACCTACAGCAACCTTATTTACTGTATCTCTTGCAGTAAATGCCCAGCCATCTACATTGGGGAAACAGGAAGGAAGGAGACTCGGAGACCGCTTAAGAGAAAACGTCAGGGCTGTGAAGATTAAAGATCTCTCCAAGCCCATTGTTTCTCATTTCACCTCTGACGGCCACGACCACTCTAATCTCTCCGTCTGTGTTCTTAAAGAGGGTTTTCCGAACTCATACATCAGAAAGACCACCGAAACTAAAATTATTCTGCAGCTAGGATCACACATTCTCCCTTCCCTTAACGACAGATTACTGTTCTTTTAAATTTTCTCCATTCATTGGAAGTTTCATTTCACACCTCTCTGCACCCATTCTGACTTCACACCTCTTGATTGGCCTCTCTTTCTGTCCCCTGCTCCCGCCTCTCACTCCTCCTCCCTCTCAACCTTTGTTCTCCCGCTACTTTACCTTTGCCTCCTGCCCTGTCTCTCTCACACCTGAAGAAGGCTCCACGGCCGAAACGTTGTGTTCTCTTTCTTCTTTTTTTCAGCATGGAATAAACCTATTACTTGTTCCTTTGCAGCCTACGCATGCTGACGCAGCCACCCACCTGAACACATAGATATTATACTTATTCCTATAGGTCCTGCGAAGAAAGATATTTGCAGCGTATAGTAATACGGTTTAGGAAATAAAGGAAAAAGTACAGTACAGTAGCTATATATTGCAAATTCTGCTCAGTTAAGATTTTTTAGCAGCTACACCATCTTATGATAATGATCTGATCTTGAAGAAAACTTAGAACCTGCATTTTCAGTAAGATCTTGAGATCTCTGGTTGATTTTTATATACAGTATGACATAGAGAATTTACATTGCAGATTAGTTTTGAGTATGTTGGAATTTCTTTCCTGACCTCTTCTGCTATTAACAGTAAGTTTCATGAGTCCAAACAGAGTCTTATAGACAGTTGTAGAGAAGTTATGGAGTGGTCTTCTTTAGCTAAAACTTTGATTTCTATGCTCTTATCATGTCAGCTCCTTTCCAGGGGCTATGGTGTTCACTGAATATATAAAACTCTACAATCATATCACTGTCTATCGTTATATATGCCTTGAGATACTGTGACACTTTAAAGCATTGTCTGATAGCTAATGACATTGTGGCATGTTAATATAATACTGTACTGTACTAGGTAGTGTTTCATTTTTGCACAAAAGCTACTTATTTATAATGCATAATCTAGAACATTATAGAACACTATCTTCTGACTTCTATCCTTGTGTTTCAATAATTATTTCCAACACTGTATAAGAAATTTATACAGATAAAAGGTCCAGAAACTAAGCAATTTACAGATGCTATATGATACACCTTGGAGCCAGACTCAGCTGGTTTACAATGGGTTCCTGCTCTGCAAAATAATACAGAAGAGGGGAAGTTGAGAAGAAAGAATATACTGTGAGATTGAGAGAGTAAGAGACAAACCTGTAGATGAAGGTGAGGACAAAGGCTCGAGGTTATAAAGAAGATATGAAGAGAAGACAATTTAAGAGAATGTAAAAAAAGGAAAGCAAAATACTTTAGGAAGATCTTTTTGTGGGTTACAATTATAAGACAGTACAGAATAATTCATAATGTTCAGTATAGAACCACTTAACCACTACATAAGAATTTTTCATCTACTGTACATGCTTTTTATAATCAACTGGCACATTTGGAATCAACCTTCTAATTTTTACTGCAGTTTTATCTGCACAGAAAATGTACTATCTCAAAAGGTAGGAAGCACTAAAATGAATTATTTGGTGGTACTTTACTCCCTGGATAAGTCTAGAGCATACAGTAGTTTAATAATGCAAAACTTGATTCCATATGAAAACTTTTTTTTATATAGAAAAAGGTTCTGTTAAGAGCAAGCTTTATTAAACATCAGAAAGGTTTCTGCAAATACCATTAAATGTTATAATGTTCAGTGAGTAAATCATGATTCAGTTCAGATAAAAAAGACAATCAAATAAAACCAAGTCACAGGAGGGGCTAGTATTTCTGTCCCAGTCATTCATAGCTTTCATACTTCCACCTTGTAGAGTACATACAGTACAATAGGGGGCCTTGCACTGTATTTCCTATCACAATGCAAGTGGGAGTTGCATGTTTCATGAGGTGTCTTTCACACTTGGTTGCAGCTGTCACTGTGAACCATAGGAAATGTAATTCCTATGAGCATTTTGCATGTTGCTCAGTCCTTACAATGGCTCTAGAATAGGTATTTCGTCATTGTAAACTGCTGCAATGTGCTGTTTGCTTCTCTGCATACAGTACGTGCTTATCTTTACCATTGTAATGTCACTTTGTGACACAGCCAGTTATATTTTCTGGTACACCACTAAAGAGGGAAAATGGCATTTTGGCATCCTCTTTCAGACTTTGGAGCTTTTCAAGAATGAAAACAACAAAATATTCATTTGTGAAAGTAAAAAAAATAAAACATTACAATAAATCAAAATGATCAAGTAATTAAAAATAATCAGATAATGAAATTCTATTTTATTTACAACTTCTTATATTGTCAGTATTTTAGCCATTAACTAATGTTTGCTTTTATGACATTTAATAAGATGTCCACTCTAATTGTGGTCCCAGGAAAGTATCTTTTATTTCTGCTGACATTTGACTAATTAGATCTGGCATCCTAAGTGAATACTGACGCCAGAGTAACATTAAATACAGCATCTTGCTTACGGTCAAAAGACCTTGCTCTCCATTTGTAGCTTGAGACAGATGGTTGTACTGCTGTTTGCTGAATGCAGAAAGAGTTCCAGCTGTGCTTTTTGGGAGAAATGATATAAGGATGAAGGGAGAAAGCAGTTGAGTGTTGTCTTTCTTATGTTTATGTTTTTGCATCAGTATATTATGATTATACAGAGTACCCAAACATTCTGAATTTTTAAACAGAAAATACGCTCCTAATTTGTGTAATTTTATTTACGCTTTGTGAGAGATTTAAATTGTTATATTTTATTAAGAGGTTAGTGAGGAAGTTCAAATCGATTCAATTTATTTTTATATATCACCTTTCACAACAAGGTTGCCCGAAGGCGTTTAACAATGCAAGTAACCATATATTTTGTAAATATAGAACAGAAGATCAGAAGAGAACAGAGGAGAGGAACCAAAAACTCCTTAGTAAGGAGAACAAAACCTCTAAGGGTCCCCAAAGGGGTTGGGTCCAAAGTCAACTGGCTGCCCAACTCCTTTGGGAATGCTAACATTATATAATTTAAAAAAAAGAAAAAAGAGTTCAGCATGGTTATTCACCTTAAAAGCCATCTTGTTTTACTAATTAAATACTAACGAAATATGAATTTAAAATATTCTTTTTACAAAACAATAATTCAGTATATATACACGTATAACTGGAAATAAATGTTTACAATGATACTGTACATAGAAATGTCCAGAACTATAGATGAAATATGTATGTTAGATTGAGATTGCATCAATTTGATTACTCAGTGGTATGTATAGCTCACAGTAATTGTATTTTGTCAATATACTGTACAGATGAATGATTTGATTTTTCCTTTGCAGAACAAGCAAGCAGCACCAGGACAGCTAGTGCACGGAACAATAAAAACCAAGACATATCCCACATTGCATTTGGATCCAAGGTTCTGGGCCCTCCTCCAGCCACAGGAAGGAGAATAATTACGACTGGATCACGAGAGGTAGTATATAGACAGTTTGCTATAACGTGCACTGTGAAACACTCATAGACTTTCTAGACTTCTAGATAAACCAGACACACAAAACCACATAAGATAAAGATAAACTGCTCTTTTATTTATAGTGCAGTGAAAATAGCCTAAACTCTGAAGTATAAACCAAAAGCCTAAATCCCCTTTTTAGCTTCTGACTAAACTTCTTCACAAGCCATCTCTGTAATAAGCTCAGTTGGGCAGTTCCTGTGAGAGTCTTCCAAAACCCATGTGTAGGAACTTACAGAAGTTTGCAGTTCCAGCTGTCATTCAGTTGGTCAGTCTGTCTGGTGCTAACTTCTCTTCCTTCCTCTGGTGAATATTGCACGTAACAGAGGATCTTCCCAGAGCAGATGAAGACTGATCTGGAAGCTTTTGCTTATTGGTTTTAAACCATCTTAGGCCAACCATTTAGGTAACTGTGAATAGCAGATCATTCCTCACAGCTTTCTGGGGAACGTAGCTCAGATAAGAATCTCCATCTTGTGTGTACCTACCAGTCTTTCAAAGGAAGCTAGATAGAAATCACATCAAAAGCCAAGGAAAGTAGATTTTGTGTATGCTGCTTTATTCTCTCTCATTTAGTTAATCCTTATCTTTATCTCCTAGTGTTTGTCTTTGCTAAAAAACATCGTATGCATCAATTTCTATGCAATGTAAATTTTATGGTTGAATAAATGTAGTGTGTCATGGTTGTTTGGCAATTATCACTTCTGCCTGACATTCCTTGAGTCCTGTGTTTGAATCCAGATAGGACTGCTTTCTGTGTGGAGTTTGCATGTTCTCACCTAGTTTGAATACATTTTGCAATTTCCTCTCTGTTTTAAAAAAACTGCAGGACAGGTTAATTGGTGCCTCTACATTGTCCCTCTGTGCTTGTTTGTGTGTGAGCTTCCAGGATAGGTTGCAGGAGTTGCAGCACCCTCACCAGGAATATGTGGCACACATAATCAAGCAATACATAGACTTACTGTAAATGAGCCTGCATATCTTTTGGATCTGGGGGAAGCCAGAGAACCTTGAGGAAGCCCATGTGAACACAGAAACAACATGTAGAACAGAAGGTGTACTAACCACATACCACTGTGCCACTTCAACTTGCTTGTGGTCATTGTAGAAAGAAATGAGCGAGATGTGAATTCTGTGTATCTTAACAGAAAATGATGTTGCAGAGATCTAAAGGTTTGCAGGTGATTATAAGCCCTATCACTGTCAGCCTGACGTCCCAGAATAGATTGATAATATAGAAGCATGGGGATAGGTGATGGGTTGTTAAGCACTTTGGCAGTGGGATACGAAACCTTTCAACTCCAGGTCACTGTTTCAATTCCAGGCCCTGTTGGTAGTGATTACGAATTGATGTCTGCAGGAAGTGTTTCTGTGGTCTCAGTTCACTTACCACAAAACTACTGTCAAGTTAAAAAGAGGAGCTGGCTCTGTCTTACCTTCCATTCTCTGCCATGTTTCAAGTATATCATAGTGCTGTCAGATAATTTTGTAGTGACATAATTATAATTGACAAAGCAAATGCATGAATTGGACTTGCAACATTATTGAGTTTTGTTTCCTGTACCTATGAATAGAAATAGTTCCTTTACTTACAGTGTATATTTATGGAATTCTGTAATGATTGCAATACATTTTTCCTTTCCTAATATGAAAGTGTTCTGTTTGAAACCTGTTAAGCAATGCAAGTCCAAATGAAAAAGTATGATCCCGGGGAAAATTAAATTTAAAACATTGCATTTTGACTTTTGCTGGGGCTCCAAGGTTTTCATATTAGTGAAGATAAAATCAATCAATCAATTAATCAAGTTTGCCTATTTGCCAGTGGACGTTTGGGTAATTGTGTAAACCTGTTGGTCTTGATCTGTACACTTCGGTATCGTTTTCCGGATGGTAGTAGAGAGAACAAGTTGTGGTAAGGGAGACTAGGGTCCCTGAGGAAAGACCTGGCTTCCTTGAGGCATCTAATAGTGTCAATTTCCCCAGCCGGTAGTGTTTTGAACCAGTTTCACCACCATCTGGAGTACCTTGCGCTCCCGGGTGGAACAGTTACCATACCAGGCAGTGAAGCAGCCGGTTAGGATGCTTTCAGTGGTGCACCTGTAGAAGTTGGAAAGATGTGGTGGCATGCTGAACTTCTTTAGTCTGTTAAGAAAGAATAGGTACTGCTGTGCTGTCTTGGCTACAAGGTTGGTGTGGTGGTTTTGGGTTAGATCGTCTGTGATGTTGGCACCTAGGAATTTGAAACTGTTGACTTTCTCCACTGCAGACCCGAAGATATGAATGGGTGCGTGGTCTGTTCCTCAATGCTTTCTGTAGTCAATGATCAACAAAAAAAGGTTGTTGTCCTGGTCCCATGTTGTCAGCGTTTCTACCTCCTCCCTGTCCGTGGAGTCATCACCGGTCATGATCAAGGCGAAGATCATTGTATCCTCCGCAAACTTAATGATGGAGTTTGTTTTGTTCCTGGTGACGCAGTTGTAGGTGAATAAGGAGTTGAGGAGAGGGCTGAGCACACAGCCTTGGGGGCATCAATGTTCAGAGTCATGGTGGAGGATGTACTTGTGCCTACTCTCACCACCTGTGGTCGGCCCGTCAGAAAGTCCAGGATCCAATTGCAGAGAGGGGAGCTTAGTCCTAGGTCCCGGAGCTTGGTGATAAGCCTTGACGGTTTGATTGGTGTTGAATGCTGAGCTGTAATCAATAAACAGCAACAAACATTCTCACATATGTTCCTTTCTTATCTAGGTGTGAAAGGATAGTGTGTAGAGCAGTGGCGATGGCATCCTCAGTTGATCTGTTCTGTCTATATGCAAATTGCAGTGGGTCCAAGGTGTCAGGCAGTAAAGAGGTGATATGTTCTTTGATCAGCTGCTCGAAGCATTTCATGATGATAGAGTGCAAGAGGGCAATAATCATTCAGACAGCTAACTCTGGTTTTCTTGGGGATTGGAGCAATGGTGGTTTTCTTGAAGGAAGAGGGGACTGTGCATTGAGTGAGGGAGAGATTAAATATGTCCATGAAGATGTCTGCCAGTTTATCTGCGCAAGCCTTCAGGACATGACCAGGGATAGCGTTGAGGCCAGGAGCTTCATGGATTAGTCTTTTTAAAGACTTTGTACACATCATCTCTGGAGACAGACAGTGGCTGTTCCCTCTAGTTTACTGGGATTTCCTTAGCTGGTTCCATGTTATGGACTTTGAACCATGCGTAAAATGAATTTAGTTAAGCAGGGGGAAAGGCAGTGTGTATAATGTTGCTGTGTTTTGCTTTGTAGTCTGTGATGGTCCAGATTCCATACCACATGGAATGTCCCGGTTGTCATGATATTGTGATTCCAGTTTCACTCGCGAACAGTAATCCTGGGGACAACATCTTCTGTGCTTTTGCTGATGTAGCCAGTAACATAGTTCACATATAGGTTAATGTCGCTCCCGGCAACTTCACAAAAAATCTGCCAGTCAGTGGTGGCAAAGCAGTGACTTAGAATAGAGTCCGATTCCTCCGACCAACGCTAAATGGTCCTTGTCGCAGTCTTCTCCTGCTTGAATTTCTGCCTATTGGCAGGGAGCAGCAGGATGGAGGTGTGATTGGATTTGACGAAAGGAGATCGGTGGAGGGCTTTGTAGCCATCCTGGAAGGATGTAAACATTGTCCAACGTGTTTGTTCTGCGTGTTGGGCAATTTATATGCTGAAGCAGGTTTAGCTTGATTTTCTTCAGGTTCTTCAGTCCCCCATTGTGATGAATGCGCCCTCGGGAGCTGTGTGAAGTTGGCCCCCCTACAGACAGCACAAACGATGAAAACCACCTCATTCATTAGTACTATGTTTGTGCCGTTAAAAGTAGTGTTTGTGCTTCTTTCATTTCCAAGATATTGCGCCTTGTTTTTTTGAGGTCATGACGTCACTCAGCCCACCTAGAACGTCATAGGGAAATCAAACCGATGGGTTTCATCGTTTGTGCTGTCTGTAGGGGGACCAACATCAAGAAGCTGCCCTTAGGGTATAAGTTCTCATGTCTGCTTAGGTGTTTGTGTAGTTCCTCCAGTAATTTTGTGGTGTTAGCCTGCGACAGAATAAACACTACCGTGAGCACTACCAGTGTACACTCCCTCTGTAGACAGAAGGGGCAATATTTAATTGTCAGATGTTCAAGATGTGGGGTGCATGACGATGAAATCATCTCCACGTCCGTGCACCAGGAGTTATTAACCATGAAACATACCCCTCCGCCCTTGATCTTCCAAGAGTCCATTGTCCTGTCCTGGCAGTGCACAGAAAAAACTCCCGATAGAATAGGAGTGGATGTGTTGAGTCAGATTTCAGTAAACGCTAGCACGTTGCAGTTCTTAATGTCCCGTTGGAAAACAAGCCTTGCTCTCATTTCGTCCAGCTTGTTGTCAAGTGATTGAACATTAGCAAAGAGTATGCTCGGAAGTGGAGGGCGATTCCAGCTTTGTCTTAGTCTAAGCAAGACACCTGCCTGCTTACCTCTCTTCCTGCACCGCCGCTTGCTTTCGGGAACAGGTACACCTGGAACTCTGTAATCCAGGTAATCATACAGTATTCGGTGCAGACCTCTTTGAAAAAATATTCTTAGATATTCTTTCTTTTCTGTATCCATAATCATTACTGCCACTTTGCTTTATTGTAACATTTCATGACATTGTAAAACTTCTTACAGTTTTAATTTATATATTATAGTGATAGGTTTGTGACTAAGCAAACCAAAATGGTTGTTTGTAGCAAGTATTTGTAAAGTTTCAATGATATGGGAATATCAACGGCACAGGGATTAAATTTAAAGTTATCCAATTTCAACAACACCCAATCTTTCAACATTTCAACTTCTTCGTTTTTATAGCTGAAAGATTTTTCTTTTAAATTTTTGGTTATTATTTTTGTGTTCAGCTGATCAAATATTTTGTTCAATTTTGACCCATAATACAAACTGTTCATGCTCAGAAACTCTTAGAGCAGTTAACTTCAAACTTAGTATAAATCCAGTGCCAACAAGATTAAATGTCATCAATAAATATGGGCTGTCCACCAGTAGTGTCATTTGCACTGTAGTGTTCTGAAATTTAAACGGCTTGTGTGTGAACAAAGCGTAAACAATTAGATTCCGAACTGGCAAGTTTCATCTCTGGCACTTACTAATTGACGTGTAACATGATAATTATTGCTTCCTTATCCTCCAAGATGATGGCCAGAGCCATATTTTAGAAATACCTTTCAAACTTGTAATTTCCACAGACATTAACTGATTTGAAACTTGACCTATATCATCAAGATCCACACCTGCTTCATGAGCATAAGCTGCTATGGTAAATTTTGATATCTGAACTGTGGCATTAAAATACTGTAACAAATTTTAAACCTCTTTGTTCAAACCTGGTTAAATGGTTAAAACCAGATGTGGTATTTATCATCCTAGTGTAAATATAATCAAAATATTGTAAAAAGATATGTTTGCATAAACCAAGATAATCACTTTACTTCCCTATTTTTCAGACATTTCATATAGTCTTTTTTGCAAGTCCATATTTAACAAATAGATGCACTAAAATTGCTCAAATCATGGTGTAAATTTCACACTGCATCTACTAAAAACTATTCAGAGATATAGTGCTAGCATCTAGTAGATTTAATCATGGGGAAATACAATTTAAATAT